AACTCAGATTCTGCATGAAATAAACCATTGCAAACAAACCATAGCAAAATTAATGCATCAACAAAGACCAAACCCAATATAATTACGCAGGAAATAAGCAGCAATAAGGTTAAACAACACCGTTATACAGCTGAAGCACCCTGAAAATGAAAACCTAGCTCAAGACAAAATGCTGAAACTATTTCAGTAATTCCTAGCCATGAATCAATCAAGCAAAAAGCAGTGTTCCAACATTCGCTAGATCAAAATATAGAACACGTACAGGAAAAATAGGAAAAATAATCACTTGGTGAAAGCTCAACCGGTCACAGCATGGAATAAAGATCAATTGATTCGAAAATACTTCCTCCTATGAAATTTCACAAGAGGATAAACGCAGCTACTACGGTTTCGGATAAGTTTAAGAGTATGGATGGCAATGGGCCAGGGTACTTGCGGATAGTATGGATGAAGATGGAGATGGTGTATTTATACGGGGAAATTAGGGTTTTTGACTTGTTGGGCTTTACTTGGGCTTTTACTTATCGGGCTTATAATTAAATCGACTTGGGCTCGATTATTAATCGATTCGGGCTTAGAAAATTAGACTCGTTCGGAAATTAAATAAATTCCCGACTTTACTAATACTCGAATAAAATTATAAATCGAGACTTAGACTTAGAATTTTATCTCATTTTCGAAATAAAATCTGAACTTTTTCTCCATGAACATACTTAGGACTTTATAAATTATGCGATTTAAAATTAATAAAATACGGCATAATTATGAACTTACTATCTGAAAAATAAAGTCGAGCTAATAATGTATATTTATTATGTACTTGTAGCATTTTTCTTATATATCTATATTATAATTTATATAAACAAATTAAGGCAGGCCGAGTCGGAGCGGGGCAGTAGCTAGGATCCTGACCTAGCCCGTTTTTCTAACGGGTCGAACCTGCCCGACCCGTTTTACAAATGGGACAGGCCAGGCCTGCCCCAAATGCTCTGGCTCGGGCCGGATCAGGTCGGGTTCAGGTCGTTCTGTCATTCCTATTTAGGAGAGTAATTGTTTTGTGGCGGAGAGAAAGTCAGAAAAAAAAAATTAGTCGGCCGCTAAATCCCTATCTAGGTCTGTTTCACGCTTATATATGGCCCATTATCATTGTGGATCTTTTGTAGCGCATAAAAAGTTAAAACTAAAGCCCAAGTCAATAATGCATGTTGGCTCATCAAGAATCTATATGTCTATCTACTAGTGGGCATAGTCAGCCCGAATGTAGTCCATAATCCCCATATATTTACTATTTTTTGTCGCATAAAATAATTGCAAATTTAATTGTATGTTTCTTAATTCCGGAAACATGATCTAAGTTATTTCAAGTTATTTCAAGTACAATAACATCATAACATACACTAACAAGTACAATACACGTGTACTTTGATAAGAAAATTATTTTTAAAACTAAATAATAATAACTACAACAATTGTTTAAAATTAAATATATGTATTTATTAGACTAATTTGAGGTTTTCATAGAAATTAATGAACCGATTGAGAGCTTCCAGAAAAAATCAAGATTATATTAGACAATCAATATCATTATCAAATGTTCCAATACAACTTAAGGGTTATATTAGTCAAGCTATTATGGAATTACCAAGTTAGTTTTTTAATAATTTTAGAATGTCCGAACCTAAAATTAATGATTTAGAACAATATTATTTTTTATCCAAACCAAACTACGAAGCATGTTTTTTCACCAAGTATGTTTCCGAAGCGTACAAGACTGACACTTAGACTCAGCGCATTCTACAATTATATATAGGGTGATAAACCAGTAAAAGAATAATCAAATTACATGGTAAACAATGAACAATCAGCTGCTGACTAAGTGAAACCATAAGTAATAAGGCGCTTAGTAAGTTTGTGAAACCACTATTTAGAAGCTCATTTTAAACCATAAAGAATTTTAACTAATTTGCAAACGTTGTTATCTTAAGGTTAACATTATCCAGGAGGAGGTTTCATTATAGATACATTTTACCCAAATCGCCATGTAAAAATGCATTATTGAGATCAAGTTGATGAAAATATCATTTTTTTATGGATTCAAATGCAACAACAAACCTCACGCCAGTAATTTTTGCAACAGGAGAAAAAGTTTCAATATAATCTATATCCTCTTATTGAGTGGATTCTTTAGCTACTAATCGAAGTTTATATCTTTCTAAACTACCATCAAACTTATATTTTATTTTTAATACCTACTTGCAGCATATGCAGTGTTTGTCCTTAGTAATGGTGTTAAAACTCAAATATTAGTTTGTTAAGTGCATCAAGTTATTTTCTCATAATTGGTTGCCGTAAAGGATCTTTTTCAACTTCAAAATAAGTTAATAGGTTCATGCAAGAGTGAAAGTGATGCAGTATAGCATGAATGAGATGCAGATAACGAGTCAATTGAATAAAATAGGATATTTTGATGTCCCAGATGTGCAACTGATGTGATTATTGAGTTTGTGTGTGAAGGTTGTAGTGAGTGTTAATAACTTAATATATATCAAGATAAGCAAGTGGTTTGATTGGTTTGATTTTTCTAGTGGATCTTCGTTTGTGTGGAGAGATACGCTATGTTAAGTTTATTTCATGTTGTGATGAGGAAGGGTCTGAATGATTGATTGGTTGAGGTTTGAGGGATTTTTGTAGAAGGAGAAGAGATATTGTTTCTTGTCTGAATAGACATCAGTGAAGGTAAAGAAAGTTGGTTGTGGAAATAGCAAGTCACACTGGTTTGTGGTATTAGTTTTTTCATAAGGAAAAATAATTTCATAGAATTGCACATTTTTGTAAAATAATGTTTACAAGGTTGTAAAGTTTATAACCATTACACAGCTATAGGATAACCAAGAAGTGTGCATTTATGTGCTCTTGAATCGATTTTAGTCCTATTAACATGTAATGCAAATCATACCATAAAGAACCTATGACTCCAAGCTGATCATACATTGCTTTGTTATAAACTAGTACGTAACCCGTGCGATGCACGAGATGTAAAATTTGGAAGAATAATATAATCTCACATGCATTAGGATCGAAATTGAAATTATTAAAATACATAGGAACATTGTTGAATCATAAAAAGTTCGGTAACAATCATAAATTATTAAAAACCTCCTTGTACACAACATTATAAGTTTGATTATTTGGTAACCCCTCATTATCACAAACTAATATTTTCAACCCCCTTCTATTATTTACACGCGAAGCAGCAACATATAATTGGCCATGACTAAAAATGGGTTTCTTCAGGAAAGGACCAACGTGCGATAAAAAAAGAGTTTTTAAAAAAAAAGTTTTTAAAAATTGAAAAGTCAAGGCAATCAGTTCAGATTAATTAAAGGTCAAAGAATATCCGCTCCTTGAAATAAAGACGTATGCTATCATTAACCAAATATCTGGTTATTGATATAGAGTGGTTAGCAAAAAATAGAACGCGATAAGGATGCTTCATGGAAATATCAATGGGATAAAGACATAACAGATCGCTATACATTTTAACGAGAAAAGCTCATATGGAATGATTTAATTAAATGTGTGAAAAGGACATAATTAAGGAGGAGTGTGAAAAGGATGAGAAGTGTGAAAAGGACAAAAACTTACCGATTTTGGAAAATATTTAATGCAAATCCGATTGACCATAATTTGACCTATTATTTTGGATAAATGTTAATTCTTATTATATAAGTATAGATAAGCTCATAATGGATTTGTTTATTTGATATACATAATATTGATACACACACGTTTTTTTAACTTTAACGAGTCGAGCTCACAAGTTACCTATTTTGTTCAGTTGCACACAAAATATACAAATGTCAAATAATTGATCAAACCATGTTATCACACATGACAACTCATGTAACAAGTTGTTTTTTTACGCACTAGCAAAGAATTAAGACAATAGAGTTAAACACGAACACATCATTTTCATTCTCTCCAAAAAACAAATCACACAATTGAAAGGTTCAATTTACTGGTGAGCAAATCCGAGTCGGAGCCAAAAAACCGAGCCAAATCGTGTAATTTCTTGCGATCCAATTCGATTTTTAGAGTGTGATAATCTTTGATTTGGTTTTTTCTACACTGCGGTGCACTTGAGTTAACATTTTCCACAAATTCGGTCTTTTTGGGTTTGGTGCGGTTTTGTATTGAATCGCAACAATTTAAAAATAAATGTAAAGAAAAAGCAAAACAAATTTAAAAATAAATGTAAACAAAAAGCAAAACAAAATCGAATCAATCCATGCATATCAGTTCAGTTCATTTATTTTAGTATAAATAAATTTCAGTTCACTTTTCTTTTATATTACGGTACGATTCAAATGTTTTTTAATAGGCTCAATCTTACGGTAATTTGTGGTTTGGTGTTGTTTAGCACCAAACCGCACCATTATTCACCCATAGCTCGACCCTACCAGTGTTGGGCGAAGTTTGAACCATCAGGCCATGCATATACACACGCACACAAGCATGGGTATATGTTGATCCAACAGTTCACACCTGCATGCCCGATGAATTTTTCCATAAAATTTTATGATCATATCCTTAAAAAAGAGGGATTTCAACTTTACCACATTATCGTACAAGATTCATTTCACCAAACAATAAAATCGCCTTCACAAGCAATCCCATCCCGACATAGCTCCTCCCATAAACCTCACAATTTGAATAACTGAATAAGTGGCTAGGGCCTGCAGCTATCTTCTACCTAATCGGGGAAAAGATTATTAGCCATTTGAAAACCTTGGATGGAAATCACAATCAAACTACTACAATGAAGTTAAGACAAATTGAGCCCTTCCTAGGCAGGGTGTCTCAGATGCAATTCGGAGATAAGTCAATACTCAATACAACACAGCACAAGTGGGGAAAAAATAGATGTTGGAATGTCACAGGCAGGCAGATCAGTCAAAAACTACAAATCTCAAAACATAAAGACATAAAAAAGAAACAACTAGCAAAGGAACCCAACTCAAACGAGAAGAGCCATAAACAAACCAAACCCACTAAGCGGCATCCACATCAGGAGTCTCGAGAACTGCCTGCTCAGCCTCCTGCACCTCCTTCTCGGTTTTCCTTCCTTTCTTCGACTTGTAGTACACGCTCATGAATGTCCCCACGGCACCATACTTGCGCCTGCAGTGCTCGTAAAGCCCAGCATCAAACATTCTCCAGAAATTCTTCTCCGTGAGCTCAGACACAGCGTATTGTGGCTGAAAACCGTGATTCTCGATCAGCCAACTCTCCATGCGGCGGACAGCCTCGGCCCCATCAAACACCTCACCCCTCAAGACGGGCCCCGGGGCATAGTAGACTCCCACATCAGTATACATCTGAGCATAGTTTGTGTCTCCTTGCCTACGCTCTTGCTCGAACCCTGGTTCTGGGTAAACCATGGTTTTCACTGGTAGTTGGTAAAGCCTATGTGGGCAGAGCCAAAGTGGGTAGACCTGTTCGAGTACATTCAATGATTCAATTGTTAATTCAGCCACATTGAACTTTCAGAATCAACTACTGCATAAACTATATATCTATATATATATAATTGCTAGCTAAGCAATAAATTTTACCTAATAGATAAAACCTAATAAATTTTACCTATGTGGCAAATCATTAATAAAACCTAATAAATAGAACCTATTAAATTTTATTTATGTGGCATTAATACACCCAATCTCATTAATAAGAAAATATTTCATTACATTTTTTTGGGTTAATTAAAACAAAAACCATTATATTTTATGTTAATTGATTAATAATTATATTTTTTATTGAATAATATAATAGTAAATATTAAAATTAGTAATTATATTTTATACTAAATAATATATGAAAGTTACATAAAATTATATTTTACACTAAAATCAATATTTTTTTATATGATGAAGATGTTGTTTATTAATAAATTAATTTTTTTTATGTCATAGTAAAATTTCTTAAAATCACATAAGCAATTGTTATAATAAATGTAATATTTTTCAGCTAATTAATTGGTCATGATCACTCAAAATTATAAAAAGTATATATTTATTACATTTTATGCAATCAATATAGTGATTCGTATACAATCAAATCGTGTGTACTATTTATTTTAACCAATGATCAAATTTTAAAATATAATACTATTATATAATTTATAATTTTAATATTATATACATAAATATAACTTGTAATACTATATGTTTGAAATATAATACAATTATATAACTTATAATTTTTATATTATATACATAAATATAACTTATAATATTTAATTTTATTTGTATTTGTGCATTAGTCGAATACTAGTATATATAATTACTAGCTAATAGCATTAAAGAAAACCTATTTAATAAAACCTCTAAAATTTTTCCTCCATTTTCGGTTACAAAATTTATCATAATGTTTTTTACTTCTCACATTAATACATCATAGAGTGTAATCATGTATTTTTCTATTATATTATATAATAATTAATGCTAATACCAACTAATAATAATTCACAATAAATATAAATTGCATAATTATAAACAATTGTTTCATGTTATTTATTTTAACATCAATATTCTCTTTTTCTTTTGTATCTCATGAAAAAAATTCTTTAAAAACAATTAGTAAATTGTTTTAATAGCATAATCAAACAACTTTAGAATCATATAAACAATTGTTTTTGTAATAATAATAATAATAATAATAATCAAACTGCTATTATATAATGATAATAAACAATTGTTCATAATATATAATAAACAATCATTAATTTATTTTTCCTAATGATTAAATTTTAAAAATGTAATATGTTCAGTATCTAAAATTTTAATATTAAATTTTCAAATATTACTTATAATATTTTATGTACATGCACAGGATATTTACTAGTTATTATTATTATTATAATCACGCTAAGGGCGTGTTTGTATACGAATATATCCGCTCACGATGAGTTTTTTTGGTCAACCACAATTAATTTCGAAAATATTAAAATAATATTTTAAATAAAATAATTAAAGTTGTGCAAAAGTAGAAGATACATAATGTGAAGTAATGGTTAGTTAAAATGATGCGAGTGGATGAATAGTGAATTTAGCCACATTGAACTTTCAGAATCAATTACTGCATAATTATTTATTATAATTAAGCCAAAAGTTCAGGGTTAATCTTGTAATTTCCAAGCAGAGCATAGCGAAGAATTACCTCCATTTCTCGGTGGACCCATTCAAGAGCATCCCCAACCTTATAAAGCGGGACGAGCATATCCTGAATGACATGCATCTCATGGTAATAGTTTCTGATGGCTTCCCCTTGAGTGGCCTTGAGAAGGGAGACTTTAGGCGGCATCATCCACCCTAACAGAAACCTGAACCAGAACTGATCAGCAAACGGAAGAATGAGCTTTCCCTCCCAATACAAGCACCTCGTGTGCCTGTGGTAATATTCTCTGGTCGGGATATACTCAACAAACTCCCCCTTCTTCAGTGCCGTTTGGGCATGCTGGTAGAACCATGGCTTGAACCACCACCCGACGCTATTGATTTTATTACCCTTCATCTTGGCTTCCTCTTTAGAAGCATACCTACCAGTCATGCAAACGGCTTCAGTCGGGGAGTAAATCATGGTCTCAACAAAATCCGGAACTTTATCAGGATTGTCTTGGTCTCCATCCCTTGGGGCAAAGGAATCCATATATCCCTGTGCAAGCTCTTTAAGATTGCCCACCACTGGCTTATATGTCAGCCTCATGTATTCCTTCACGGGTATAAGCTTAATCTCAGCCGCCACAAGAAGTCCCAGAGTTCCTTGAGACCAAGGGATAGCGTAGAAAAGGTCTGAGTATTCATTGTCCTTCGTGGCCCTAACCAAACGGCCGTCCGCCAAAACTATCTCATAAGCCACAACAGTATCTGAGAACAAGCCATAAATGTGAGAGCTTCCTTCAATTCCATAGCCATTGATCAAACCACCAACGGTCAAGTCATCGAGCTCGGCAACAACTGCTAAGGCCAAATTCATGGGGACAGTAGCCCGGGAAATCTGGCCCATATTGACTAAAGGCTCCACCCGAGCAATCATTCTCTCCCGATCTATGTCCAGAATGTGTCTGAAGGCGGAAAGGTCAACCTCGAAATGCCGAGCACGCTTATAGTCCACATTACGCATGCCAACAGCAATCCATGGCTTTCTTGCCGTGCAGACCAAGCCATCCTTCTTTGGGTTCCTCTCCTTGAGGCGCTTCACGACTTTCTTGACGTTCTCATCGTGTTCCTTCTGACGCTGCTTGAAAGATTTGCACTCGGACTTCACGTCCCCAAGGTACGTGAGGAAGTACAGTGTGAAGGAAATAGGAAGGACAACAAAGATGACGATTATCCATCGGAACTGAACAAAGTAGTCCACCCACACCTTCTTTCTCTTGGGACGTAGTGGGGCCTCGAGATCCGACATTGTGGGAAATGAAGAGACCTAAAACAATGGTAAACATTTATTTAAGTGGGAACTTTTCACATGCATAAAAACAAGGCACGGAGATGAGTGCTGATAAATACACATGTAAAAACAGTGGCGCGTATAGATAATTAAGCAATGTGAAGGGCCATTAATGAATGACTCTAAGTAAACGAAGTCCAGCAGAATCACGACCTCGAATATATAGTAGTGAAAGATTTCATGAAATGTGACTTTATAAATCATCATAAGTTATCCAAATATAAGCAAATGTAGATGAAATTTATTAAGTTATGACCAGTCCATATTAAATCTCCCCTTACGCTTGGCAGAAAGCAACTCATTTTAAATGTTATGTTGAAAAGATGAAGAAACTGGTTGTCATGTATAGAATGCAACCACTATTTCTGCATTCCCAGCCCTGCAGCCCTGTGATATACCTCCTCGTGGACATGCTGGCTCAACAAAACTCCCAACTGTACCACTCAACTCATGGAGGACAACAATCTTCACATTAATGGTGCCTATAGTTAGATTTACATTTATTGTTGTTGTATGAAGATGATAGTTCAAACATTATATATATATACACACACACACACACACTGAAGGCCGCCCCCATCATAAATCTGCATTTCTACTTGTTATTTCATATTTCAAATTGCCAATAGCCCATTACTGTTGGTTATTTCATTTTTTCATATTTCAAATCCCCCATCAGTGTTGGTCGAACTATTTGACAGAACCAGAATCATAGAAAATACGACATCACATGCCAGTCACCCTGAAGAAAAGATATAATAAAAAATACTAAAAAAAAAGTAAAATGACAGCCATGGGAAAAGCAGGTATGGCACATGACAAGCTGACTATATCCTATAGTTCGGCTACCCAAAATAAAAAGATATAAACGATAGCCACGAGCAAAACATGCATGCCAAAGCACAAGTCCCCAATTAACGAAACCAAGCTAATCTGCATAATTTGGAAAAAAAGAAAAAAAAATGTATTTCGAGAAATTAAATCAGATCATCATGTCACATGCATGTGCCTTTGCATACAACACCAATGCAGATAATTCTATTTAACAGAGACTTCATCCAGTAAAGGATTTAGCTCCAGCCATTAAAACCCAGGCTACACACTAGTGTTCAGCACCTGAGTCGGCTAAAACCAGAGGTACAAAACTTGTCGCACAAAGTACATACACTACTGAATAGCCAGATCTGCAGCATTAAGCGCAAATGTAACACAAATACATGCACAGAATCAAGTAAAAAACATGGATTCATCATATCAAACACTGAAACAACCTAAATCTGGCCAGATCTACAACAAGCAACTATGAGAAATATGAATTTGCCCTTCGTTTTTCGCACACACACATAGACAAAGTCATGGCATTGATTTTCGCACAAACACGAGCAACGCATTTCCAGATTGAACCTTCGATTCAAAATCATTTAATAAAGGCTCAAACACAGACTAGATTACATCGGCAAACAAAATCTATGGAGAGAGACTGCAAGAGTAAGAGCACCTTTGCGAAAGTGAGGGTTTGAGTTGGACTGTAGAGTGACCCTCACAAGTGCTGTGCTGCTGCGAATATGTATTTAGTGGACATTGAAAATGGATGATATAGCCAAATAGCCCATAAGGTAAAGGGCATTTTCGGGAATAATTAATTTGTGTACTATGAGCATGATTGGAAGATATAGCCAGTAGCTGTCACCTGCCAGCTAGAAAGAAACTAATGTGAGATTATAGTACTGTATCTCCAATGTTTTAATGTTGTTATAGAATAAATTTTGACAAATATCAATAAATTAAATGGATTGTGAACCATGTAAAATAAATGTAAAGTCTATAACTATAAAATTAAAAATTTGTCTCCAATGCACAATATAGTCTAACTACAATATTATGTAGTAAAAAAAATATCAAAAGTTTATAATATGTAGTAAAAAAATTATTTAAACAATTAAATAATTTGAAATTGGTAAGAATAATTCTCTCTCTTATCTTAATTGGCTAGCTAGAGTGTGGATGAGAATGTTGATGAACTACATTCTTGTCTACATTGTTGACATTAATTGTGTCCACATCATCACAACATTTGTGATCACATTGTGCATTGAAGGATGAAAAGTTATGACATTGTTAAATATATTGATGTTGAATGTAATTTACCACAACAACATTTGAGCATTGGAGATGCTCTTAGAGTGGATGATATAATACCACAAGCTTTTGGTTCAATCACAAAAAATTGTATATTACCTAAAAAATAGACATAGTCTAAAAAAATGTAGTCTCCGATACAAACAAAAATAGACTGTGTCTTACTGATGTGGCAGTCAGAAAAAAAGAGATTCGGTCTATCCTTAAGTCTATTTTAGACCCAAGTCTCGCGTTGAAGTGGATTTTATCAATTTTACATAGTTTTATCAATGTCATCCGGGATTTATTTACATGTCACATAGGCAAGGCTATACTCAATGCACTGTAAATGCTCCAGTAGCGGTACTATGGTAACACAAATATCTAGTTTTATTAGATATATTTTTTAACTAAAAATTAAGTCAAATTTAACGCAACTCTTTATTCTTTATTATTATCAATATAATTAAATAGATCATTTTAATACATCACATCACCTTCTACTTATACATTAAATCAACTATAATTATTATATTTTAAAATTATTTAATTGCAGATTCAAGATTCCACTCAAACCAAACTCAATCAACTTTACCTTGAATTATCTCACTTTATTCAATAAATTCCATCAAATCCAAATTAACTTATATATCCGATCACACTCTATTATAATCAAACCTAACCAACTCAACCAATCAAATACAAAATAACTTATATCTAATCAACCCTATCGTTATCAGACTCAACCAACCTAATTTTTTGTCCGACTGTTAAAAGATGTTAGTTTCCTACAGTTTGAATAACAATCGAATGAGCTTCAAATGAGTTTTTATTCGCAAACGTTGAGTTTGTTAACAATCTTAAATAATGACTACTAGGATTATTTTATTAACAACAAATATACCTTTGTAAAATATTTGGAACTGCTAAAAGAGTAGTGAAACAATCATGGAGCTATAATATTTTGATATCGTTTTCATTTTCAAATTAATTTTTCCACCGATAAGCATGTTATTCAAATTGAGTTGTTCACAAACAAAACTCTAGCTTAACTCGTGAATACTCGAGATCTTCTCTTTTGAGCCGAGTGTGAAGTGTGAACATCCAACAATCTCGTTTGTTAAATAAATTGAGTCGAGCTTGTTCACAATCAACTCAAATCTTTTTACCCATGTTAAGATTGTTTTATTAACAATGTAAGATGAAAGGTCACTAAGGGCTCGATTGTTTATGAAATAATTTGTTCAAAATGAGTTATTTTTGTTAAGTATAGTTAATTTTGAAAAATGTAGTATGCTTAGTTGTTAGTGTAATTTTAAGAATGTATTAAAATAATATTTAAAGTAAAATGATTAAAATTGATTTGATGTAAAAGTGAGAGATAAATGATTGAAAATGATATGCGAGTGGATTAATAGTGAATTAAGGTTGATGTGATGTGTAAGAATGATTGGTTTGTATTATTTAATTATATGAATAATATTAAAGATAGTATGATTGAATTAAAGTTGAGTTAAATTTTGAGTATGAAATAAAGATAAGTAAAATAATTCATAAATAATCAAACCGTAAGCCTTCTGAATTGGTAAAATATTTGGAAATGCTAATAGCAGAACAATTATGCTAAAGTATTCAGATAATTTTTTATTTTTCTTTCCAAACTATTATTTTTTTTTTCACTAGTGTTATTCAAATTAAGTTGTTCTTATTTTTCTTTCCAAACTATTATTTTTTTTTTTTCACTAGTGTTATTCAAAATTAAGTTGTTCACAAGCATAACTCGAGGTCGACTTTTGAATGCTCGGGACTTTTTCGTTCGAGCCGAGTGCGAACATCCAATCGATCTTGTTTGTTAAATAAATTGAGTGTAGCTTGTTCACGATCAACTTAAAATTTTTATATTTTTTATGAATTTTAAATGAAACAGTTGAACCGAACTTATTAGAAATAGTTGTTTTAAAGTTTAAGTTTATTAAAACGAGTCAAACTCAGACTCATTTATTTAACCAACATGAATTCTAATATAAATTATTCGAATCAAATAACACCCGACTCAACATAAATATATAATAATAATATCACGTGTCCCCTATAGCAATCTCAATCCCATGTTTACTCTGTTGTTATCTTAATTATGATATTATATTACATGTATAGCAATCTCAATCCCATGTTTACTCTGTTGTTATCTTAATTATAATATCATACATGTTGAACCTAATAAATAATTTACTTTACAATTTAAGACAAGTTTTATCCTTTCCTTGTCCCTGCCTAAAGCTATATTAAATAGTAACTAGGTATAGTCCATGCCTAATGATATATTTTAATTTCAATAGGTGTACTTATATATTTCGAATATCATACTTTTAAAAATAACATAACTTTAAAACTTGACATTTCATAATATAAAATATATATTTTTTGTAATAAAGCATGATTGTTTAACTAATAATTAATATAATATAGTAGATTTTGTGATTCAATAAACATACATTTCTCAAATGAATTTACAAATTTATTTTTTTTCGAAAGTTTTTATCCTTTATTTTTATGTAATGAACTTGTTGGAAAAAAAATAAAAAGAATTTATCTATAAGTTATTTTTAATTTAGCACAAAAACTAACCATTTGACTAACTTTTTAAAATTCAAAAAGTTCATTTGAGATTTTGTATTCCAAAAAGCTTAAAATATCATGTAATAATTTTGACTACATGACAAACATTTGTTGCTTATCTTCCTTTGACTACAAACAAAATTTTGACGTTTAAGTTAACCTTGAGTATGACAGTGTAAGTTTACAAAAATGAGATATTTTGACAAAAATAAAACGTACCATGTGAATATAAAAAAAACAAAAACAAAACAAAAAGCGAAAATCTCGAAAATGGATCCCAGCAGGATTCGCGGAGTTGCTGGCCATCACATTTTGCATCAGGAGATGCACATGACACAGATCCCACCTTTTTATTTTTTTTTTTACTAATTCCTATTAAGACTAAATTAACATAATCGGTGGATTATATTATTTATAATCAACATTATTGCGGTCTACGTAAAATAATTTATTAATGACAAGGCAATCGTGCAAGTTAACGTTCCAAATTATATAAACTAGTATTTAATCATGTGCACATGTACAGTTGCAATTAAAAATTTATATGTTATAGTTGTGAAATTAATATTTAAAATCACAAATTAGATAATGAGCATCATATTTTATAAATTTTATCATTAGTAAAAATGAGCGCTATAAATATAAACTATTAGATTTAAATATTAATCTTTATTGATTGCAATAGTGTAACTTTTGCAATTTTAGCTAATTACGACTAATTCATTTACATAAATATTTTTTTGTAAAAGATAATGAAATATCATTTAATGTGACTTTATGATTAGTTAGTATTTAGTAGTAGCTATTATCTAATGAAATAAATAAAAAATATAACTAATTAATTGATTCAAGATGTAATGGAAAATGGAGGGAAAAAAAAGTTTTATTAAATGTTTTGCCAACAATTATATATAGATATATAGATACCGGTACGTGTATTACACAAGTTTTATGTTTTGTTAATCAATTTATACTTAAAATTTTTTAAAAAAAATAATTAATTTGTAAATATTTTTTTAAAAAACTCTTATTATTTATATTTAAAATACACGTCACTTATATGACTTACCATATTATATTATAATAATTTTTTACTTATATCAAAACACTTCGTAGTTAATTTATTTATTTATATGTACAATAAACCACGTATATACTAGAAAATAATATTAAAACATAATCAATGCTCTTAAAAAGATAATAAAATCTAGTATATTTATGGATATTCTAGGCCTAGTTATTTTTGGATTGTAAATAATTTAAAATTCATCCAACCCAAATTAAAAAAATCATGAAAATTTGACACATAGGATTTCGAAGCATGCGGGCATTCCACTTAAACTAAACACATTCGTGAATTATATGTAGGGGTTGTTTTCATAATAATTGTATGGGCAATATTCTTTTAGTGGGGTAACTACTAGAAATTGTGCATTAGTAACCAAAATTTGCAACTAAATTTTAATTATTACAATAGTAACAATTATTTATATACAGAATATACTTTCAGAAACAGAATGTACTTTAAACAATTATATTTATATTAGTAACTAATTTTGTGACTAACACCCTATGTCACAAATACATATACATTATTTTAATTTAAAGACTTAAAATTGTAGCATATTCTAATTTATATAATATTAATATAAAATATAAATATTTCATTTATCGTCGTTACAAGTTCGAACACTAGAGTAAGGTTCATTCGAAGCTAGTTTGAGAAAAATGCTTGAATTGGACTAAATGAGCTAAACTCAATGCCTCACTCTCTTATCTAAAAGTTCAATTAGTAGATCACACTACGGCAAAAAGGAGTTGTAACAACATAAATATAGTGACATTTTTTAAAATTGTAATTAAAATTGATGTATTTGTGAAGTTTTTTAAAAAGCATTACAAAGATAAAATTATTCCAAACCATTTGTGTTGAATAAGAGCTCATTCTTTTGTTAATCAAGTCGAGCTCGAATAAAAAACGAGGTTCGTTTAATAATTGAACAAATCCGAGCTTATTCGCAAATGTTCAGTAATGTCCACGAACATTAATTTAATAAATTTTTATTTTATTTTTTATGTTTATATATATTATATTTATTTATAAAAAGCCTAAAATATGAAGTTATTTTATTTAATTAAATATTTATTTTCGAGCTTAAATGAGTTCGAACGAATGTCTCGTGCTAATCATATAATTTTAAATATTTTTTTAATTGGTCCAGCCCGGAGCTTGTGGGGCAGGTCAAATCTACCCCATTTTCAAAACGGGTCGGACCATGTTCGCCTCGTTAGTTGAGCGGGCTGCCTCAGAGTCTTATTTCCTGCACCTGCCTAGCTCGACCACCCCGGCCTCACCCGCTTTTTGTTTATATTTATTTTATAGTAACACACACACGCACATACATATATAATAGGAGCAGTGGTATATTTACCAAAAATTGAAAAATCGAACCAAATTCACAAGGAAATAAAACTGCAACATATCGACTAATTTTTAATGGTAACCGATAATCGGTTACCGAAAATCACTCGATTCGGTGTCAGTACCGCCCCATGAAGTTAGTTCGGTTAATTAGGAACAAATTTTCTCGATTCTAATTTGGTTTCTATTATTGAATAATAGTCTCGTTCTTAATTTGGTTTCTATTTATCAAACACTAGAAACGTGTTGTTTGTTACAAAAACCGTTAGTGATAACTTAGAAACAAAGAAAAAAATAGCATAAATGATTTTGTAGATTATTACTGTAAGAATGATAACATTGGCTATGATGGCCTATGTTGGAAACACCATATTAGGCCCAAAACAGAGATGCGACATTTGAATATTCTAGGCCGTCATGTGTGGGCTTGGGCCGCCTTTCTAAAAGCACAATGATGAGGTAAAGACCAGCCTGCCACGTGTTTTGACCCTTTCATTCTTTTTTCCCTTCGTAGCCGTTGCAACTTCCATGGTCTCCAAAGAGCCCTTCGTTCAGCCTTTTCGACGCAAACAAAACCCGAGGGCCTTTTCGTCATTTTCGCCTCTCCCACCTTCATCTTCATCTCTAGAAACAGTGCGAAGCTCTCTCTCTCACACACACACTCACACTCACTCCACGCACCACATCCTCTCTCAGGGTACTGAGGATTTTTCCGGCCATGGCTTCTTCCTCGGCCGCGAAGCCGGAGGAGACAGGCGGCGGAGAGAGCTCGGAAGTGCCCCCGCCTCCACCACTGCTGCCGCTGGGCGGCGGCGATCAGATTTTGTTGTATAGAGGTCTGAAAAAGGCGAAGAGAGAGAGGGGATGCACGGCTAAGGAGCGCATCAGTAAGATGCCGCCTTGCACCGCCGGCAAACGCAGCTCAATTTATCGAGGGGTCACCAGGTACGCCGACAATCAAACGCGTGGTGCGCATCTTTTTAGCTGATTGTTTTGTGTGTGTTTTGGGTGCTGGAATTCTTCACGGTGCTGTAACTGAAGTTATAGGCACGAGAGTCCATCGCCATAGCTGTTAGAGCTTGGTACAACCTTTGATGCGGGAGGCACTATTTACTTGCTTGTTCTCTTACTCTTTTTTTCACCTCTTTTCAACTGTTCTTTTAATGATTAATAGCTATTTTTGCTTTTGTGCCTTTTGTTTCCTCAAGAGCAGGCATAGATGGACTGGTCGGTATGAAGCTCATCTTTGGGATAAAAGTACCTGGAATCAAAATCAGAACAAAAAGGGAAAGCAAGGTTGGTGTGCTTATACATATGAATCCTTATTCAAGTGTTAATAATTCGACTTTCGATGTTGTGAAAAGAGGATCTTATTTGTCTCTTGTTTGGCTTTTTTTTTGTTGTTATCGACGTTTGATGGGGAATCGATGCTGGTGCCCTGGTTATTATTGACAGTGTACTTGGGTAAGTAATCTGATCACTTTATGTTTTGGGAGGAAAAATGGGGTAACAAGGACTTCAGGCTGATGTTGTTAGTTCAAAACCGCGTTAGGTGCATATGATGATGAGGAAGCTGCAGCAAGAGCTTATGATCTCGCAGCTCTTAAATATTGGGGCCCAGGAACACTCATTAATTTTCCTGTAAGAAGTTGTGAATTCTATTCTTGCGGTTGAGTTTATTTCACTTCTGCATTGCTTTACGAGTCTCATGGTTTTGTAGTTGGTAAATGATTTTATTTGTTCCTTTCCATGGTCTGGATTCACATTTGCTTTTACTTTGTATGATGTGTTGGGTCTGTACAGGTGACAGATTATAGTAGAGACCTTGAGGAAATGCAAAATGTCTCGAGGGAAGATTATCTAGCGTCACTTAGAAGGTTCGTATAGTATTCATTCAAATATACGATTTTCTTATGGCATTCTTAGAATTTAGTTTTTACATGTCATCTCCTTTACAGGAAGAGTAGTGGTTTCTCAAGGGGTATGTCAAAATATCGGCCCCTCTCCAGGTATTCTACCACACAATTATCCAGTACTTTTACAAGTTAATGAATAATGGTAATACCTGGGACACTGCACAAATATCTTTTTTGCTATTTATCATCTGAAGTCTTTATGCTTATAATTGAACGATTGTGTAACTGATTTTTTTTTGGCATCTTTTCACATCACTTTATAACCTTTTGAATTCAATGTAGTCGATGGGATTCCCAGTTTGGCCAAGGGCCTGCACCTGACTACAACAGTGAGTTCTATGGTGAGACCAGCTGAGAGTTCTAACTTCTAATAGCCTCATTTGTTTTTACGCTGAACACGAATCTGAATTTCTACCATTGACTTCTTCTCCTCTGACTACAATTGAGGGTACAGGTGATGATGTTGCTGCAGGAAGTGGTTACTCCACCGAACGGAAAATCGACTTGTCCAATCACATCAAATGGTGGGGGGCAAATAAATCTGGTCAAACTGACTTCCGTTTAAGGGCCTTAGATGAAACAAACATTGGGTTTCCCGATGATGTTGCTAGTGAACTTAAAGATTTAGAATGCTCGGCCGGCAAGCCCACTGAACCCTACGAAATGCCTCGGCTAGGCTTCCCTCCAGAAAGATTGAAGCACAAAAAGATATCTGCCTTGAGCACTTTACTCAACTCAGATGCGTACAAGCGCCTTGAGGAGAAAGTATCGAAAAATAAAGAAAAGGATGAGAATAATGAAAATGAGAACAAGAACAATATATTAGACAAAATTGAGGTTGGAAAAACGGCTGACAGAACATGCCACGATGGAGGAAGTGAAGGACAGGAGCACGGTTTGGCATTTGGATTAGGTGGAGGATTATCTATTCATAGAAATGCTTACCCTTTAACCTCTCTTTTGTCAGCTCCGCTAATTACCAACTACAATGGTATTGAGTCTATTGACCCATTGGCTGATTCTGCACTTTGGAGTAATCTCATTCCTGTTCTTCAATCGGGTCCTGGATCTTCAAACACAAACGAGGTCTGCTATTCTTCTGCCGAGTTTATTTTCATATGATTGAATATGCATTTGTGAATGCTGATAAATATGATAAATTTTGATTCAGGGCTGTGAATATTTTCAGCTTATGTAATGTTTGATTAAGGTCTAAAAGTTCTTTATAGGAGACACTGATGTGTTTTTAAATCACGGAGAGGATAGTTAGATTAAGTAATTTTTATGTTTTTGGGTGTGATCTCAAGAATCTCAACAAAGCAAATCAACTCGTGCAAAATCAGAGAAGATTTTGGATTCTCTTTTGAAAAAAAAAAAAAATAAAAAAAATTGATTGCATATTTTTAGGCATGAAAAAGTGCTGAAAATCATGTGCAGGTTACCAAAAATGAGTCGAGCCCCGATTATACTTTCTTTCATCAAGGAGATTAAGCATCACGAATTGTCCGCTTTCGGTTCTGATGCTTCCCGAGTGATCGGTTGATGAATAGTGGNTTTTTCATTGTCTTCTACACGATATGTTGAATGTAATACTTCATTGTATAGTTAAAAATGCTTTTGACAACACAGGCAGCTTATCGTTAGAACTATTATTATCTGTATTACTCTCAGTTTTTCCGATGCCGATGTTTGTGCTTTCTACGCTTTTACCGATGTGTACAGAATATGATATATATAAAATTCTGGAGCAAAATAAGTCACACGATGTAGTTTATTTGAGTTTTTAGTTCACCCAAATTCAGAAAATTCAGCAAAAAATTCAGTCACGCTTATTCTCTCATTCAATTCAAATTGACTGAACAATGCCTTCAAAACACGACTCGTTAAAAGAGTAAAAATACAATGAAAAATTCTCCAAACCACTCTAGCTTAGCAAAATTATAATATTCTTCTTCTTCATACGTTAAGCTTTTTACGCTCACCGAGAAGGTAAGCCAAAAGACAGAGTAGATATATAACACATCTTTCAACACAAGAAATATCATATATCCCTTTTCAATCTCTGCTTTTATTCAAAACAACAGCAAGGTCTCGAAGCTCCTCAAACGCGTGCATTGTCTCAGAATCAAATCCTCCAGCAAACTGCACGAATCATTTTCAGACACAAACCATTGGAATACAAGTGGCGAACAAAAAAATCTTACAAAAAAATGTGTTTTATTTCAGGTTTTCGCTAACCTGATGAATTCGAAAAGCAAATCTTACGCCCTGAAGTAACATATAATCCAAGGACGAATCTTTATTATTATCGGGTGGTACTCCTCCTCCCTTGGACTGAAGTTCCATTGCCACTCTCTTCATGTACATTTTCGCCAACTTCACCGAGCCAAACTTTATCTGCATAATTGTCGAGCCAAATTGATTAAATTGCCGAAAATTAATCAAGAAAGAGAATGAAAGAAAACATTAGTCACATACGGACCTTGCTTAATATTCCCATGTCCAACATCCAGTCTGTCGGGATGTGGAACTCCTTGCAGTGCCTCATTAGTGAATCTCTTGTTCGGAGAATATCATGCACAGTACGTTCCATTCTGATGAAAAGATCAAATTTTTAAAAAGAAAAAGAAGATCATTCATGTTAACAGAAAACCGAACCATATTGATGTCAGTATGAATGAAGTCTTACCTTTCGGACAAAGCTGCAATTTTCTTTAATGCAAGATCACATGGCAAATGAGGATCATCTTTGTAATTTATAACTTCTTGCTCCAACCTTTTCAGATCTCTGTATCCAAATGCCGCCTCACGTAAAGTGTCCGCTTTCTTTTCCGGCCATTCAAAGTGTTTCAAAACTGCCCTTTCATCCACCTGTAAAAAGCCAAGTCAAACGGAAGGAGATTAATTTTGGAAAAATAAATAAATGTAGTGAATTTTATTTATTTATTTTTTTTTATGGCAAGAATCTTACGAGAAAGCAGAGTTCATCATCAAGCCACTTCACGAACGCAACAACATCCTCAATATATCGGTAAACCGCGCTGTTGACCTCTTGTATTAGAGAGTTCACAAATTCTCCTTGAGTCTCAACATCTGCCTTTATCTACACTCATACATTCAGACAAAAATAAATAAATAAATAAATAAAATCCTACATTCTATTATTTTTCATATGTTCAAGAAAAAAACAGAACAAAAAGCACTAACCGCAAGCAAATGAGACGAACGGTTCTCAATTTCGTCTATCATGCTACTCCGAACATTCGCTACACTTAATTCATCCGTAGTCCCCGAATTCAAGCAGTCCTTTCTCGATTCTCTCTTCATGAGCGAGTGGTAAAACTCGACTACCTGTGGGGCCCGCTGAACTTTCCCGCCCGTTGTGGCCCGAGCCACCATTAGTCTTTGAGGAGGTGGTGGGGGTGGAGGAGGAGCTGAAGGGGGAAAACCGGAAGAAGAAGCCAAAAAAGTTTCTTGCTTTATTAATTCTCTTGAATCACTGCAAGAAGGTCTCGGAGGAGGATTAGCAATTCTCAAAGCCCTTTTTTTCTCAACAACATCTAAAGAGGCCGTCGAATAAACTCGGGCACGGTTGCTTACTACTTCCAAGTCGTATTTTTCCGAAACTAATGCCTCTTTCGAGCATATAAAGCTATCCGACTGTCTCTTTTTATTATTAAATGCTAAATCTTTTGGACAGCAATTTGTTCCACTAATAGAGTGCCTTCTTGCCGAACTCTTTTGTTCGTCCCATGTAAAGTTCCGGTTCTTTATTTGTTGCAAGTCTTCATCGGTAATCGGCCATTTTTTGAACTTTTTGACAAGGTACAGCTGCCTCTTAGTGGCCGTGTTGTTGTTGTCATCAGAATCTTCTTCCTCAACTGGATAAGGCGAAAAGCAAATGGATTCTGGGCTTGATGAGTGCTTATCAGAAAGATTGTTGTTAGAACAACTTCTTAATTCATCTCTTAAACATGAGTTGACCCATCTTAGATAAGCTAGTTCTTCAACTTCGTTCATCCGACTTATTTGAAGACCTTCGACTTGCTTGCTGAGGTCTTCATTGGTGTGCCTTAGCAAAGAGGCCTCTGCCTTAATTTGCTCCACAGTGTTACTCTGCAAATCAGACAAACAAACAATGTGACTTGTTATACTGTTTTTACTTAAGAAAACAATGTAAAAGTAAGGAAACCAACAAACAAATATAGCCATTTACATATTCCAACTTCTACTTCTGAGTAGGAAAAATAGTAAACATGCAAAAGTAAAGGAAAAAGCCCTCTTCTGATTTCTGATATTTATTAATGATCATGCCATCACTAACCATTAATTAAACATATACAACAACAACTTTATGATCCAAGAAGATACAATTATCAAACTACCTGACTAAAATAAAATTTTACAATGACATTTGATCTAGGATAACAATAAGGCTATGTTTGGTAACCAAATAAGCTAGCTAATTACTTATTTGGTTAGTTTATAAGCTTCCTGTATTCAAATAAGTTTCGTTTAGTAGGACTAGCTTATCTCATAAGCTTCTTGTGTAACTTATCAACTAATTTTACCGAACACTTTTATCATATAAGCAAGCTGTTCAACTCTGAGTCATAACCTATAAGCTATAAGCTCGAAAATCACTTATAAGTTATAAGTTAGTTTATTAGCTATCAACCAACTTATCAGCTAGTTTTACCAAACATACCCTAAAAACACAACTAAATGAAAGAAAAACTTGGTAAAAATGAAATAGCAAACAATAGGTTGTGATATGTACCTCATGAACTTTAGAAAGGGCAGCTAATTGGGCTTCCAAGGTTGCAATCCTCCCAGAAAGAGTTCTCGTTTGAAGCTGCAGCTCCTTGTTCAAGCGCCTCAACTCTAAAACCTCCATCTCCACACTACTCAAATCATCATCATGTACCTCAGTTATCAAAATCTCATCTTGCTTTTTTCCCATTACAGAATTCAAGGCCTCAACCTGAGACAAAAGATTTGCCTTTTCTCCTTCGAGCAAACCCACTTTCTTGAGAAGTCCATTAACTTCACTCCTTTTCGATTCAAGCTCCCTCTCGACCTCCTTCTTCGTACACTCCGAAAGCTCGGCTTGCAAAATGACCTCCCTGTCCTTGGATTCTTGCAGCAAGTTCCTCAAGTGATCGATTTCGAGAAAAAGATCCTCCGAAGAAGCTGTAAAAGATTTAGTCTTGCTGTGAATTGTCTGAGGGTGCACTTGGGTAGCGTTTATCGAGCACGAGAGGTCACCAATGAGGGATCTTTTGATCCTCGAATTCGAGACCGAAGGCGGCTGATGATTATTTCTCTGGTTCGCCACGTCAGCGCCAGTGAGCGGCGGTTTTTTGGTCTGAGCTGTGACGTGGACTACTCTGGTTTTGGTCTTTTTGTCGCCTGAAAACCCTTTTACTATGTTCGAGCCCCACGAAGATTTCATCTTTGGGACATTACTGTTTGCCTTCGCATTTCCATTGTTGTTTTTCGGAGGCTGGTTTTGATCAGCAAAGTTGGAAGCTTTAGGGTTATTAGCAGATGGGATTTCTTCCCTCATGATGAGCTGCAGTCAAGCTTCACTTTTTCAGCCTGAACACTCGAAGACCCTATTTTTTCAGCTAAACAACGTTAAAACACTCGGAGACCCTCTTGACACACTCAAGAACTCTCTGATTTTCGAGATTATGAACAATTCAGCTAAAATAATCTAACTTGATTGAAAAAAAGAAGAAGGGCACACACAACTCACAAGCATAAACAAAGGGTTCTTGTTCTTGTGCTGATTATTCAGAACAACAGAGGAAAGACGCCCATAAAAGAAAGAGCAGTGGTGGACTGTTTTTTTGTTCACTATTACACCTGATGGGATTCAAAACTCTTGAGATGTTTGATTAATTAATGCAAGATAATATACAAAGGTGGTCGATTTTGGGGACATGGGAGGAAAAAGAAAACAAGGGACTGTCTGTGTGACGATGTTTCTGTTCTGTTCTGATTTTCCGAAGCTCGAAAGAGTAAAAAATGGTGCTGGGTCGAACTTTTCGCTGCTTTTTTAGCCCTTTTTCTTTTTCTTTATTCTGTCGCCATTTGAATTTTGAAAATTTGAATCTGCGTGTGGCTGCGGAATCAGAGTTTTCAGATAATCGACGGCTGGGAGTGGAGCGCGCGAGGGGAAGATGATGACGTGTCAGAGAGGGTCGAAGGAAATTGGGTCCAAGTGTGACAACACCAACGGTCGAATTCCAAGCCCGGCACATATTTTTTAAATAGGTGTTGACGTGTTGTTTTTAAATTATATGGTTGATTATTATTGATATTATAAGGGACAAATTAAATAATCATCATTATTATTACAAAAGAGTATATACACGAGTATTTTGTGATATGATTAGTTTCACCTAGAAAGTGTTGGGAAGACTACGGCTATATTTGATAAAACTAGCTGATAACGGATAAATTAGCTTATAACTTATCAACAGTTTTTGAGCTTATAGCTTATGACTTTTAGTTGAAAAACTAGCTTATATGATAAAAGTATTCGGTAAAATTAACTGATAAGCTAGCTGAAGTAAAAATTTGAATTTATTTGAAAAGCTACCTAAAGAAACTTATGACATAAGTTCGAACTTTTTAAAAAAACTTGTCATACCAAACGAAGCTATAAGCTTTTTAAACAAGCTCGACCTTTTTAAAAAAGTCCATTCTACCAAACAAGACTTTAAAACTAAAAAAACTTATAAGCTAATTAAATAAGCTATAAGTTAGTTTATATGCCTACCAAACACAGCCTAAAAGGCTGGTGTGTCTAGTGGACCTCAGATAACATAAAAATGTATTAGAGCAATGACAAAGTCTTATTGTATACATTCATTGTAAGGTGTAATGTGTGCATTCCAGGCACATTTATTTACCTTGACTCAATTGTAGTTGTTTTTATTTATGTTAGAGAACCATTTTACTATTAAGCTGTCTATTAGTTAGTCAATTATATTTTCTTAATAAAAATCATACTCTATAAAATTGTTATATATTTTTGTATATTATTTATTAAGACATGACATTTGAGTATAAATTAATGTAAATCTAATAAAAAAATCGCAACTCACTAATCATTAAATAGTGTAACATCAACATTATCATATACTAGAAAATCTAACATTTGGCATGTAAACAATATATTTCCTTCTTAATTGTCCCTCCAACTCCAAGTGACAATTTACACTTGTTAGACGTGCAATTAGGCACAATTTTTAATCATTGACATGGATTATACTAAGAGAATCTTCAATGCATTGGGTCTAGTCTTGCCTATGTGGCAAGTAAATAAACCCAAGTCTTAGATGACGTGGATAAAATTATGTAAAATTAATAAAATTCACTCCAATGTAAAGAGACTAGGTCTCTACTTGGGTCTAAAATGGACTTAAGGGGAGACCGGGTCTCTTTTTCTGGCTGCCACATCAGCAGGACCCAATCTACTTTTATTTGCATTGGAGAATATATTTTTTTGGACTGAATCTATTTCTTATGTGGCATGTAATTTTTTGAGATTGAACCCAAAGCATTGTAGATGCTCCCAAAGCAAATACATGAATTGTACATAATCACTCAACACAAGTAGCTATAATACTAATTGACTTTTGACCCGTGTAATGATAAGGCTAGTTAGAACATAAATTGAATTTTACTTTATACAATGTGAATTAAGCTTGAGTGGAATTAGACAAGTAGTTGATAAACAAGATTGAACTTAGCCTAACCCGAATAAGAAAAAAAATAAAAAAAAAAGAATTACTTGCTCTTTGACTTGAGGCATGAGAAAATCTTCATTATTTAAAGTAATTATTTCGTCAACATTCTCAACTAATTATCACACGCCTACACAAAAATGAGGTCTAAGCAAATAGCAATTTTGGAATCGAGCATCGACTTTCGAGGTAGCATATGAGTATAATCTAAAGAGTAGTGCATTATTAATTTTCGATGACGTGATTAGCATTTATAAGATATTAAAAGGAAATCATAGGGTATCTATAACATAATTAAAGAAAATTTAACAATAAGCCATTAGTTGGTGGCATGACAATTCTCAATTTTTATGTATCACAAATTTAGTCAACGAGTCTAATTATCAGGTGAGTCGATTCCGCATTTTTTTTTTTTTAATAAAAATAGATATTTATATTAAAATTTTCATATTTTATCTATATTGTTTGTTAAAATATGACATTTCGATTTAAAAATCAAACATATATATGTTGATGATAAATTATGAATAACTCATATTTTCGGTATTAAAATTTTTTGTGCAAACTGGCTTAATCTTTAGGCTTATTGTTCAATGATTTTTTAAAAATGATAATACATAATACTTTTGCTTATATTATTTTAATAATATGACCACATTTCGGTTAACATAAATTTGTTTATTGAAAAAAATATGTTAGTCTAACAGATTTGACTAACGGAAAATTTAATGTTTAAGCATATATACTCGGGTATTGACTAATATTCATAAATAGTCATTATATTTGGGGGTAACTTATTTAGCTAACTTATACAAAAACATAAAATTGGAGAGCTAAAAATATATTTGGGGGTAACTTATTTGTTGAAATTGAACCCGTAAAAATCACAAAAAAAAAAAAAGGGATGAATTCTTGACCTATATATTAATAGGTGCTTTTGGGACTATTTTTAACCATATTTAGGCATGTGGATTTGTGTATACTGACTAGTAACTGCAAAGTATTAGTCCATCACATCCAACGAAAATGAATTTAAGTTATAAATCAAAGACCTATAATAAATTAGTGAAGTCCTAAAAAGTAAAAAGGTAAAAAAAATAAATAGGTCAAGCATCAGTGATGCAAGGATGAAGGAACTGAAGAATAAGGCAATTACAGGCAACAAAATTGTGGATATAGAAAATGAAGGAAGGGGAGATTGGTAAAGTTTTCCTCATATATATATATTTCCAAACCTAATAACAAGTCATCACTATTTAAAATAAATAATAAGTAATATCTAAATAACTAAAATTTACATTAACAATTTCTAAAAATTTCTCATTTACATCTAAGTAACTAATTATAAATGTTTAAAATTTTATAAAATAGTTGGTAAAATTAGTTGTTAAGTATTATACTAGAATTAGTTGGAATGACATTTATAAATATTTTTCTTATGTTCATTAATTTTAGTTTTGAAAAAATAAATATTATTTATATTTTTAAATATGAAAATTGTGATATATATTTTATTGCTATAGATTTGGATAAAAGGTGTGAACAGTGCACAAGTTTTTATTAAAAATGATTTTTTCTACAATTGTGAGATTGAAGAGAGTGTTGTATAGTTTATGTCCGTGTGGTATAAGTAAGGGAAATTAAGACTTGTATTTTTTTTTTCTTGAATCGCCAACATCAAACGCTAGCAAAAGCAACGTTTTCCATATTAGGTGATTGGCCAAAAAAGCTAATTGTAAAACATACGGGAATCGGGGTGCTGAAATACTGGCTGTTTACCAAACATGTTTTTTAGCTGATTGTAAAAAGTCAAACAGCTAATAGATGAAAAAGCTCCTTTTAGGCCAAAAAGCCATTAAACAAACACAACCAAAGTGGCAAAAGGAAATCAAAACGCCAAAACAAAACGCTGCAAAATGTAGTATTTTCATTTTTGGCGTTTTGAGCCCACAAGCTAATTTCAAAAGATGTTTTACCAAACAACAAAAAAACCAATTTTAGCTTTTCTCATTTCGGTCAAAACCGCTAAAACAGCTTTTTGTTGTTTTGGCAAAAAAAGCTGAAAAACTAACGGGGCCATTAACTTTTAAAGTATATTTACAATTAAATGGTTATAATAAGAAATGATATTAAAATGCAATTAATACATGTAACATTACCATAAATAATCAACATATTTATGGATAATCTGAACCTAATTATTTTTGGATTGGAAGTAAATTAAAATCAACCCAAGCCTAATAAAAAAGCATGTAATTTTGCCATATAGGATCACGAAGCATGCGAGTCTGTCACTTAAGGTCAATACATTCTGAATTAATATATAGGGGAGGGGATGTAACAACAGAGATGCAATGCCTATAACATAATACTAATACTTAATAATGATATTTTAAACTGAAAATTAAATAAATGAGCTCAAAAGATCTCATACCTTACATCCCTATGATTGTAATGGCATAAGACTGTTATTAAACATATTTAAAAAACTATAGATTTAATTAAATAACATCAATTTATGATATCTCACATAAAATTAGGTGAATATTAGTAGAGATAAAGAAGAGTGTTTTTAGGACAAAAACCCTTTTTTCCAAGAGTCATAGTCCTGGTGGGGCTCGTCTCTCCTCGTCAGATTAGGGGGAAAACTCGCCACGTGTAGTCTTTTTATTTGATTTAACTAAGTGATAAATTTTTTGATTTGGTCCTTATATTAAGGTTCATTTTCTTTTCTTTTTCCCTTTTATTATATTGTCAGCAGTTTCAAAACGTACGCGCAGAGACAGCCCAGGCAAAAACAACACACTGCAACCTTCTCTCTCTCTTTTCGTTGCTATTACTATTCAGTTTCTCTCTGTAAGTGGTGGGTTCGTGAATAAATTCGATCTTTACGGCGGAGTTTCTTAAATTTTTTATTTTTATTTGTTCAGTTTTTTCATAGTTTTGTTGTTATACGTAATCGAATGTGTTTTGGGAGACATCAAAGTCATCGTCTTTTTCGTCTCTTTTCTATATGACATACAACTTTCGGCTTTTTAATGAAAAATTCGTCCGTTCTTAATTTGTTTTTTAGGTCAAATTTCTAATTGAAAAGTGATTTCCCTAGTTTGGCTGCAAAGTTTTGATCTTTCTTGCTTAGGAGCAATTGGGTTTGGAATTTTTGATTGGTGTAAGGTGGATCTTGAGAGTTTTGTTTAATTGACTTTGTATTTTCTGTGTGATAGGCTGAATCAAAATGCTTCTTGTTCTCTTGGTTCACTTTTGTTACCAAGACTGATGGAAATATATATGTTTTTATCTGTTTCCTTGCTTAATTGTTTCTTGTTTTTTCAATTATTATGTTTTATTTTTTTATGTGTTATTGTTGTACCCATCCTTTTCAACAGGGCCCAGCTTTAGTTTCCCTTTTTAGTTGAATTTTTACCCTCCTTTAAAATGTGTTATTTGATCAATGATCTATCCCGGTTATTGATTTATTTCACTGATTATGGTTTGGTATTCAAATTTTCATGGCAGAATATTTGAGGAGGTCCCAATCAACAGTGCCTTAGCATACCAACTGATATAATTGATGCCAAAGATTTGATTTTTAGTCCTATTTGTTTTGTTAGAATAAGAGGAGGGATTTATCAGATGCTGAGTTTCACCAGGATAAGAACTCAGCAGAGGTCCAATAGATCCATGTCTTTAGGCGGTGGGGTTTTTAACTTTTTACTGTATTCATTGGGTTTTAATTTTTATTCATAGTTGTATTTTCTGTCAGATTTTAATTTTTCTTTCGCCGTTGCTGTTGTTCAGGCATGGATTATGCAGACCCCAAGAAGAAGAACAGTTTGCTCGGAAAAATCATGATGGTTTCAGCTCTTACTGCATTATGCATTCTTATGCTCAAGCAATCTCCAAATTTCAACACTCCAAGCCAAGTAATTTCTATTTCTTTTTCCGTGTTTTCTATTATTATTTTTATGTGTTCATCACCGAACAATTGCAACTAGCTTAGAATATCAGGCTGCAGAATTTTAAAAAATTTGTGTTGAGTGATTTCTTATAAAAATTTTCTTGATGGAAGGTGAAATTTTGAGAAGGGCCCTGCATAATCTGAGCTATATATAATTATCTTACCTTTCCAATTTTAAGTTTTATTCAGTTTCTAAATATTTAACCATGATATATTTTTGTACAGTTTTCGAGTCATGAACCGGGAGTGACTCACGTTTTACTAACCGGAGGTGCCGGTTACATTGGTTCACATGCTGCATTACGGCTTCTTAAGGAATCATATCGTGTGACAATAGTGGTACCATTTTAATGCAATCATATTTGCAATTTTTCCTTTTCCCGCAATTAACTTTTCGGACCTTGAAGAAAGATTATATTTTTTTTTCTTATTATAGGATAATCTCTCACGTGGAAATCTCGGTGCTATTAATGTTCTGCAAAAGCTTTTCCCTCAACCTGGGAGGCTTCAGTTTATTTATGCTGATCTTGGTGATGCAAAAACGGTAATGGTGATTAATCTTTTTTTTTTCCCCTTAAATTTATTATTTAGTTAAAATAAAGAATCTCTTGTATTTGATGATTTCAATTTTTTCGTACCATTGTTGATATGCTGTTGAATACAACAGGTGAACAGAATTTTCTCAGACAATGCATTTGACGCGGTTATGCATTTTGCTGCTGTCGCATATGTTGGGGAGAGTACACTTGATCCTCTCAAGTTAGTACCTTTAAATTGTTTTAGCTCTTTTATATGAAGTATTAGGGCTATATTTGGTAAATCTAACGATAACTGATAAGCTAGTTTATAGCTTTCAACTGAATTTCGAGCTTATGACTTATGGCTGAAAAACAAGCTTATATAATAAAAGTGTTTAGTAAAATTAGCTGGCTGAAATAAAAATTTTAATAAACTCGAGCTTTTTAAAAAAGTCCGTCCTACCAAATCAAATTTATTTGCATATAAGAAACTTATAAGCTAATCAAATAAGTTATAAACTTAACTCATAAAGTAATCAAATAAGCTATAAACTTAGCTTATATGCTTACCAAACACAACTTGTATTGTAGAGAAAGAACTCGATGCACCGTGACATGATATTCGAGTCTAATTAAAATATTGAAGATGATTGTTTTATTTATATGCTCGTGCTTGATGTTTTCGTGTTCGTCACAGATATTATCACAATATCACGTCAAACACACTTGTCGTATTGGAAGCTATGGCAGCACATGGAGTGAATACTCTAATTTATTCAAGTACATGCGCTACATACGGTGAACCTGAAAAGATGCCCATTACAGAAGAAACTCTGCAGGTAAGTCGTTACTATTTCTTACGGCACATGAATGGGTAAATTGTTACTATTCTTACGATGAGAGAAAAGCCCACTTAGCAGCCTTTTTTTTTTTTTTGTCTCTACATTGTAGCTTCCCATAAATCCATACGGGAAGGCCAAGAAAATGGCAGAAGATATAATTCTGGATTTCCACAAAAATTCTGATATGGCTGTCATGATTTTAAGGTAAAAAATTCGGTTCCGATAAGAAAACATTAAAAACACTGATTTTCCTTAATTCTAACCTCGAATATTTTAATTCAGATACTTTAATGTGATTGGTTCTGATCCTGAGGGAAGGCTTGGTGAAGCCCCTCGGCCCGAATTACGCGAACATGGACGAATATCAGGTGCTTGTTTCGATGCGGCTCGTGGGATTATTCCGGGGCTTAAGGTCCTTCCATCTTTTACTGCTCAAATTAAATTTTTATCCATTGCACTCAACAATCACATAAAGATACATTTTTTTATTTTTATTTTTTCAATTTTCCTAATGCAGGTTAAAGGAACCGATTACAAGACTCCAGATGGGACATGCATACGGGATTACATTGACGTTACTGATCTGGTTGAAGCTCACGTTAAAGCTCTGGAGAAAGCAAAACCCGGGAAAGTTGGCATTTATAACGTCGGTACAGGAAAAGGTACATTACATCATGGCCCTTTTTTTAAAGGCTAAATTGCATTTTTAGTCCTGCTAGTCGTAGCAATTTTTGTCCCAAGATTCTAACGTTTCGCCTTGCCTATTGGTCATGTGATTTAACATTTTGATGCAATTTCAGTCATTGTTAGGACTGAAATAGCAACAAATTCCCATATTTATAGATTTTTTAGGTCATGTAACTTAAAATTTTGTTGCAATTTCAGTCGTGTTCCGATATGTATAGATTTTTTACGTCCTATAATTTAACATTTTGTTGCAATTTCAATCCTGTATAGATTTTGAGGTCCTATAATTTAAAATTTTGTTGCAATTTCGTTCCTGTTCCCAACTTTATAGATTTTTTAGGTCCTATAATTTAAAATTTTGTTGCTTTATGAGGACTGAAATTGCACCAATATATTAATTCAAAGGATCAAAAGGCGAAAAGTTGAAACCTTGGTACTAAAATTGTTATGCGAAATTTGTATATATATATATCACAGGAAGATCAGTGAAGGAGTTTGTGGAGGCTTGCAAGAAAGCAACCGGGATGGCTTTGAAAGTCGATTTTCTTCCCAGGCGAGCTGGGGACTATGCGGAAGTATACAGTGACCCCACCAAAATCAAGAACGAACTAAATTGGACTGCAAAATACACTAACCTTCAGCAAAGTCTACAGATCGCGTGGAGATGGCAAAAGGCACATCTTCACGGTTACGAAACAACCCCTCTTTTAACATCAGCGTAAATATAAATATGATAAAGCTCTTTGAAGTTCGCCTTACATTAGACGAGTAGTTTTTTTTTTTTTTTTTCCTTTTTTTTTTTTTGAAGTTTTTAACAGTGTTTAGAGGGAGAGGTTTGATGTAATTCTTTTTACATCTCTATATTTTGAGGGGCTGAATAATTTATATGGCTGTTTTTGGTAGCTATAGCCTTGCATATTTGAGGTTTTTGTGCACCATGAAAGACTCAGTAAATGAGTCTGTTAATAAGATTAAAAGGGGTGCAAAACGCCTACTTTCTGCTACCATTCTATGCACAAATGAAAGACTCAATAATAGACCGATATGGATCATGATTTCAACAGGTGAAGATTCCGTGTTTCTGTGTAATCTAAATCGAATAAACCATGCCTTTAGAGCCAAAAATTTTCAGTACATATATGATCAGAATTCTGATGAACATGAATTATACATATCAAAACAACCAAAAGCAGCCAACTTTAAATTCATCAGGCAAGTTTTTAAAGGACAAATATGGCCTAAACTTAGTGGTAACTGTCGTATAAAAAGATAAGTGGATTGTTTCATTAATTAAATATAAAAAAGGGAAAATTAATGGAGATGCGGGGTATCGATCCCTGTACCTCTGAGCTACATCCCCTTGATGAAACATATTTTTCAAATATTAATATAATAAATATAATACCAGAAGGAACGAATCGAAACTAAAATTTCAATTAGTGAATCTGCGAATATTCTGAAACATATAATATACACAATATATTTGAAGTTCTAGTCCTGGAACCTGTTGGAACATGTACCAAAAATTAGGGATGGCTTCGGTTTAACAATCAAACCGAACATTGACATACCGAATTAAATAAAAATATTTCAATAATAAAACCATAACAGAACCATTTGTTAGCTCAGTTTGACTGGTTTCATGTCAGTTCAGATTTCCATTGTATTTGTTGTTTGCTTCGTGTCTTGACCTTTGGTAGCAAAAAAGTATTTCGTAGCAGAAGATGATGTTGATATAAGGAAAGAATTGAACTCTCATCATTATGCTGTGAGTTAAACACAAAGATTGTGTACTTGGGCAAAATTTCGGGTTTACTTGGTAGCAAAAGATGAAGTAAAAACTGAAAAATGATCCTTTTGTTATGTTGTAAGATTGGCGAAACAAGATGAATTACACACGGTCACGATTTGTCCTTCACAAGAGAACTTTTTTGCTACCAAACCTACATATTACACCAAGTCCAAACTCGAAATTCCAAAAATAATGCAATTCCAGTGATCTAACAGCAAATGGAAACTGCAATTTCATGTAACCATACAAAACAAGCAACATATCATGAAAGAAAAGTCACAAATTGCGATTTCACAAATTGTTTTTCTCTAATAGTCGAAAATGCCCTAAATAAGCAAGAAGAATCTCAAAAATAGGGGCAAACCCCACACTATTCAAGCAACTGTTTGAACTGCTCTGTCGAAACTTTCTTCCGCAGTTGATGCGCGTTTCACCAATATGTGCTCTGGGTCTGACAATTTCAATTGGCTGAGGAAAGCGAAAATAAATAAGTAAATTAATAATCATGTGTATATTATTGCAATAACACCATTCACAAGAGTAGGTGATGAAGACAAAGTAACAGAAGTAAAATTTTAACAAACCAAACTAAAGAAAAATGACAACTCGTTATATTCAAGTATAATACCCCGCAAAAAGGGTATTCCAATTCTGCAAATATTTTCAAGGATCGTATTACAGAGCACAAGAACTTCAATCGCAAACCTGAGATAGCGTGATGATGGCTTCCCAAGGTGAAGACTGCAGACTACAAGATTTGCAAGAGTTTCAGGATCTTTTGCGTCCTGCATCAACCGTCAAACACCTCAGTTAAAAAAAGAAAAAGAGAACAGAATTAAAAAAGGAAAGAAAGGAAGCACTTGCATAATCTCTATGACAAATAATCAGGAAAAGAATATATATATTAGAAGCAAATGGAAAAGGAAATACTGAACAGAGAGCATCACGATTCACGAGAAAGCACTCAAGCGGGTTTAAATAGCCAGTATAGAATCGTGGCATCAATCAATCAACAAGCTGTTAAAATCCCACTAGGTGGGGTCGGCTATATGGATCAATGTCGCCATCTTGCTCGATCAAAACACATATCCTCATTCAAATTTAAATATTTTAAATCATTATTTATTCAAATTAAAAGACATTCTGCTTCGAATGTAATTAACTCCACCTTGTTTAGGGCCTCAAGCAGTAGTGTCTCAGCTTCGTCGAATTCTCCCTTGTGCATGCAGCAAACAGCCTTACCATTCAGAATCAAACCAGTCATTGGGTACTTCTCCGAGAAGTCCTGGAAAATAAGATAAGCTTCCTGGATCTTTGAACCACCCTAGCAAATAAAATAGGTAAAAAGTTATACAAATCTTCAGTTCAATTTAACCACGAGAAAAATGTAGGTCATGGAGTAAATTTATTTTACCACAGCCAAGTTTAGCCATGCATTGGCAAGTTGAGTTAAGGTGTGGTCCTCATCTATTCCTTGCATGACTCTCAGTTGTTTCTCTGCGTAATCTGAACGGTGCATCTTGAGAAAGATTTGGACATTCAAAGCGTAACTGCAGGAAGTATAATGTTGTCAAAAGCCCATGATAGTTAATACATACATCAATATATAGGTTTTAAATTCGTAAAACAGAAACACGGACATGATATGCACACGATACATGCAAAAGTAAAAGAATATATTGAGTAACCTGAAAAAATAATGGAGGCTCCAAACGAGCATGAAATCTCGTAAAATCAGTATAATATGAAATAATATAAAATTTTAAAACCATGTCCTTTACAGAGATTGAAAATATATAGGCCTTTCTTTGTGAAGTAAAAATATAAGAAAACGAGTGGAGGATGAAGATCATTTAGGTTGTGTCCTTAAATTACTAAGATAAACTGTGCGTGTGAAACTCCTGTATTGAAACATATAAACTACATTTTTTTTTTTTTAAATCTAAGCAATGACTCACAGTTCCATCGTTCCCCCAGTATTGGTATGTTTCAATGCCTCATTGTAATCCTGTTCGTGCATGAATATAATCCCTGCAATAAGCCGTAAAATGGGGTTGTTTCCAACGGCTGGATCTCCTAACCACTCATGAAGGCTCGAAATTGCAGTTTCCTACACATGTATCAGCTGAGAACACTTAGGATAATCATCTAGTAAAGCAATTACAAAAAAAAAAAAAAAANAAAAAAAAAAAAAAAAATACTACTCTCTCAAGATTCATTTCAACACGCGACAACTGGGGAAAATAATTGAAATGAAGTGCACCCAATAGATATCACAAAGTTCACTTTCATTCCCAAAGTTTTACATGTCAATTCTTACCTCACCATGTGCTCCCAGTATATATATTTGAAGAGTACAATATATCAATTATATTCAAATAATGTAGTTAACATTCTTCCTAAATTGCATAAAACTTCTTCTCCACCATAGGATCAAATTGGAGCTCCAAATTCACTTGAAAAAGTTGTAATCCTGCTTCCAATGCTAAACAGGCAAGCAATTCAAAACCTCCATCTTATGGAAAACTGCACAAACCATTCCATGATCTCAAAATCCAAAAAACTAAAGGAATTGATGTATATTCTGTCGAGAGATTGCATCCAAAACTACAATTTCCTCAAAGAGAATCAATCTACTATATACTCGACACCTGATTCAATGGTACAACCAGACAACATTCTTATCCTCGAGACATCCTCAATTAATTTATTATACACCAAAGCAAATGTCGAACTATGAATCTTCACAAGAGATTTGGCAATTCCAAATCCACATGAAGAATCCAAATCTCAACCCTTTAAAATGTAAATCCCACATTAATAGATCTTAGCTCTTAGGTAGTATGCCATAGATCAACTGCTTCTAAAAAGACCAAAATCAACGCATCACCTTGTTTGCAGGGCTTGAGAGATACAGAGCAAGCAATTTCACAGCCTGAAGAGGCGTTGCGGCAGCTGAATCAATCTCATTAATCACAAGCTACAGACCAAAAACAGAGAAAGAAAACAGTAAACATAAAATCAAGAAGCTCCACGAGTCATATCCAGCTTTTTACCAACAAAACGCAACAAATCTCAAATTTGAATAAAGAAATATACAACAGATCGAGCAAACAACAACCAAAAATCACGCATCTGAAGCATAACCGGACCGCACCGAGCTTATTACCACAAAACCCAACAAATCTCAGATTTGAATGAAGAAAAATATAACAGGTCGAGCAAACCACCACCTCAAATCCCGCATCTGAAGCATAATCAGATCATACCTGGTAACTCCCAAGAGCAATATAAGAGCGGTAAACGAGAGAATCCCTCTCAACGATTTCGTCTGAAGAAAGGTTGGGGACTTCGCTGTTGTTGATCGCGGCTTGGTACGCTCCCAAGTAGAAATTGTTCCTCAATCCGAATAACGGGTCGGGTCCTCCGGCGGACGCCATTTTTTCCGATCTCCGTTCGTTTTCCGGTGATTAAATTATCCGGCAAATATGAGATCTAGCAGACGAAGCGAAATGCTAGTGGAATCGAATCAGGACGATTTTTCAAGAGAAAAAAAGAAAGAAACGTGTGTGTACCACGACGTTTCTTTTGATAAAGTCATTTACTCAATGCCAAAAATAATTCAAAAACTTTCAAGAAAAATCCTGATTTATTTATTTGGGACTTATAATTTACAAATTGTATTTGTTAAATCCTCTATACACCCAACTTTGTGTCATTGGTCCAATTTTGTCACAATATGTTAATGGTAAAATGAGAATATAAATAGTATTAATAAATTTTAGGTACTTAGAATGTAAAATTGGTTCGCATAGATATGGCCATCGGACAAGGCCAACCGTGAAACTCGATTGGCCTAACACGTTGACTTGGGTTCGAGTCACAAACAGAAAAGAGTTGGTGCTCAAATATAAATGATATTAATATAAAATGTTTGTGGAAGATATATTGATTGAATTAAATAGAAGTCTAAATGATAAAATCAAGTTTATTGCATAAAATCAAGTTTATAGCTTTGATGGTAAGTTGTCTTGGGTTTGAGTGAGCAAAGAAATCGATTATGAGATTGTTAATAAGGCTACGATTGGTTTAATTTTTAGCAAGAGGTTACGTGGATAATCCAAAACACCCAATCCAAAACACAAGATGAAACAGAAACACCACACTTTAATAGTATTATTTGTGATTTTAGATTTGTGTTTACCTTTCAATTTTGAATAACTCTAGCAATTTATTTTATTTTTTTTTTCATATCTTAATATATAAGAATAAAACTACTTTGAATACATAATTGTTTGCCACTGGATGACACAGAATGCTGCTTATTACTTATTTCATACAAATTGTATATATTGTAGTTAAAAAAGATACTAAAGAAACAGTAGGGATACTTCACAATTCACAGAGGGAAATACAAACCCAAAAGTTCAGATTTTTCACTTGTATTTTTTATTTTTTATTTTTTCCTTTTGGGAACTTAGACATGATACAACCTAACTGGCAAGCCCTTCTCAGGCTCTGGCATCATATCACCTTCAACTTTCTCGTTCGGGTCGATTACTTCCCATCGGTAGCTTTTCACGACATTATGAACGAATGCCAATATCGCCAGCCTGGCATACTCTTTCCCGGGACACATTCTTGGCCCGCCTCCAAACGGGACATACGTGTAAGGTGGAGGAGCTTCTTTGCCTTCTTCATATCTCGACGGATTAAATTTTTCAGGCTCTTTGAAGTAATCCGGGTTCATGTTTGTAGTGCTTACCGTCCAATAGACCTTAAAAGTTAAACACATAACAAGATAACACATAACACAATCGAATTGAATCGAATCTATGCTTTAGTAGCAGTATAACAAGATTGGTTCGATTCGTTTAACTAGTCGATCAAACATTATGGTTCGAAAATAACTAAAGTTCATAACAAATGCCACACTTGTAAAATAGAAGATGACACATTTCGTTTTATTATTCATTACGGTTAGACAATCATATTTTTTTTTTCTTTTTTCATTTTTTTTTCCCGTTTTTATATGTACCTTCCATCCCTTTGGAACTGTGTAGCCAGCATAAGTGAACTCTGTTATAACTTCTCTAAAAGTCCCCTGCAATGGAGGAACTAATCTCATCGTCTCGCAAACTACATTCCACGAATATTTCATCTTCCCCATATCGTCCCATTCGAGCAATGCACCCGCCTTTTTCGAACCCGCAATCTCCATTTGCTCTG